CAGCTCCTGCCCCTTGCCAGGCTCCCCAGGCAGGGTGTTGTCCATGGGGTGACACAGACCTGTCACCTCATCTCAAACAGACCTGACACACTTCTCTCTGCAGGTGCCAAAGACATGAGATGCTCCTGAGCTTCACAACCCACATGAATTTGCCCTGGCTGAACATCCATGTCCCATCCCAGGAATGATGTGCAGTCAGGACACGTGGCGGCAAGCATCTCCTCTGAGTCCCTATGGAGCTTGGCCCAGACAGCCAACGCCTGGACATGTTTTCTGCCATGTTTCCAGTGATGCACGCTGCCCTCCCAGCCCGGGAGCCCTGGGTGTCCCAGCTGCAGCAGCAGCCAGTGGGCAGGAGAGCGTGCAGACTTCACCCGGCACCTCCGCGAGCCAGCGACCACCTCGATCCAGGTCTTATTTTAGCTGCAGCTCAGGGGTGAAATTCCCGTGCAGATATTCAGCTCCAGAGGCCAGAGCAGGGGAAACACTTTTACTCTGAAGTGTTTAAATTGGAATAAATCCGGTGAGCCTGAGGCTGAGGCTCTGGCAGTCACAGCCATGCCCTCCCCTTGCCCGGGAGATGAGGTGAGGGCACACAAAAGGTTAAAGTGGCCTGAATAAGGAGGGGGCAAGGCTGGGGACAGGTGGCAAAGCCAGGGTGGTGGCTGACCATGCAGCCAGTGCAGGGTGGAGTCAGAGGGCTGCTGCTGGAGTCCCCACCCCAGAGGGCTGGTGCAGCTCTTAGAGGGTCCAAAGAGGAGTTGGAGGAGGCTTGAGGAAACCATCCAAGCCAAGCTGGCTGAGAGACAGATCCAGCCTTGAGGAGAGCAGCCCCCCAGACCCGGCCTGTGGGGGGTTGCTGCTTCAGGAAAAGCCTGGCTCCAGCCCTGGCTCAGGCTCCAGCCAGGCACTGACTGCAGGCCCTGTGCCTTGGGCTGCGCTCCTGCCACGGCCAGGCCAGTTCGGGCCACACTGGTGCCATGGCAGCAGAGCCACTGCCGGGGTGCTCGCCAGCTCCCAGCCCAAGGACCAGCTATGCTGACCTGTCCCTGACTCCACAGGAAAGGCAGTAAAGCTATGCTTGGGGCAGAATTTGCAGAACATTGGCCTTTTTCAGTGACAGCTGGCTGTCCGGTGACACCACGCTCACCAAAGGCTGGGGAGGCCACTCCCAGCTCTGGAGTGGTGACTCAGAGCCATGGTGATGTGGCAGCTCTCCCAGGGACTCCAGGCTTGGACAGACATCTCCTGCAGGAAGGTGTGTGCTCAGGGTGCTCGGGGATTATTCCCCATGGCAATGTACCCTTATGCACCAGGCTCCACAGACACTCCACTCCTGTTGTATTTCTTGTCCCCCTGCTTCCCCTCCAGCCTCCTCTGCACCACCAGCATGAGGAAAGCCCCACAGCTGGTTTGGGGGCTCAAGAAGCAGCAGCAGGACAACATCAGCCACAGATTCCTCTGTGCCAAGGCAAGGAACATCTCATTCTCCCAGCGCAGAGGTCCTGTGGCCATGAGTACACAACTGTGGCCTCATCCTGCCCAGCAGGGAGAGTCCCACTGGGCCCTTCCCCAGCCACTCTCTCACTCCATGGTGGGGGTGACAGGGTGAGCAAGGACAGATGAGCTTTCTCAGGTCTGTCTGTCCCTTCATAGCTCAATCCAGGCTTAGTTAAGGCTCTTCCTGGGCATCACAACCCACCTGCAGGTTGTTTCTGCTCTCAAGCCCCTGGGTCCAGCGGCCATGGTTTCGTCCTTGGTGCTGGCATGTTCCAGGGAGCTCAGGAAGCACCCATGTTTCCTCCACACATGCTGTGTCACCTGAGCTGCTTGTGGCACCACTGCAAACACTGTTAGCTGGTCAGGGACTGCACCACCTCAGCCTGAACCCACCCCCCAAGAGCCTCCTGCACATCCCAACCTATCCTGATGTACTCCCTGGCTGGACATACATGGCATGGGACACCCCAGGTCACCGTGCTCTCCATCCCCAGTCCCCATGTGTGCCACCCACCCACCTCTCCTACATGCCCAGAGCCAGCCTAGGGCTGCAGATTGTCCCCAATGGCTGACCCAGCTGCAGTCCAGCTGACTGAGCTCCTTCCTCCAACCCCAACTCCACGTTCCTCTGTCCCCATGGCACTTGTGCAGGTCCCAGCAGAGGACCCTGTCCCAACTCCATCCCCACAGAGATCCCTGCATCCCCATCAGCATCTTAGACTAGCAATGATGCCGGTGCAAAGCTCCAGGTACCTCATGGAGCACACACCAGCTCAGATCCCCGCCCGGGCGCCCCAGGATGGCCGCATTTGTGTCGCCAGCCCCGCAGGCTGCAGCGGCAGCGCCCGGAGCTGCCGGGCTAATGAGAAATGCATGGGAGCCACATCTGGTAGCGATTGAGGCGGGAGCAGCGCTGGGAAGGGAGGAAGCGCAGATTTCCTGCGGCACAAAGGAAGGGAGAGGAATGTCCACGCAGAGCGGAGGCCCTGGCCGCCCCTGCCTCCCCCCTCACAGGGGTGCACAGGCACGGATGGTGCCGCTCTCTTGCTGGCACCGCTGAGTGTCCATGGGCATGTGCCCTGCTCTTCCCCAGGCCAAGCCTCTCTCAGATGCCCCTTTCCACCCGCAGGGATGTGCAGGGATGCACCCACGGCCACAAGCACGCACTGCCAGAGCTCCTGTACGGCCCCCGGCCTGCTGCTGCTCAGGTCCCCACAGCCACTGCCATGGGCACACACTGCCAGAGCTCCTGCACGGCCCCCGGCCTGCTGCTGCTCAGAATTGTCACAGACATCTTTTCATTAAAATCCTTTCATTAGGATTTTTCCTGCTGAAGCTGAGAAGTTTCAGAAACAAAGTGTAAACAATGGTTATCTGCTGCTGTGGAATGCAGCAGGTGGATCCGTGATTGGTCTCAGGTGGATGTTTGGATTTACTGACCACTCACGGCAGAGCTGGGTCTCACTCTCTGCTGAGACACAGATCTTTGTTAGTCATTCCTTTTCTATTCTTAGCTTAGCTAGCCTTCTGAGAACTTTCCTTCTATTCTTTGTAGTATAGTCATAATGTAATATATATCATAAACTAATAAATCAAGCCTTCTGAACGTGAGGTCAACATTGTCGTCTCTGCCTTCATCCTGCAACCCTTGCAAGCCCTGTGACACAGGGTCCCCACAGCCACACAACTCTGGGCTTGAAAGCCCCCCGAAACTGCCTCGGGCAGGGAGCAGGAGCCCAATGAAGCCATGAGAGCAGCAAAGTAAAGGCAGAGGCTGCCTTTACTGTGCCATGCCCATGAGGCTGTGGCACTGAAGAGGACAAGGCAGGTGGGTTTTACATCCTCACCAGTGCAGGCAGACATGCCAGGGGAGGCAGCTGGTCTGGTCGTGATTCAGGGGAAACCATCCCTGAGCATCACTGGCTATCAATGGGATTTTGGGTTGTGCTGCTGGGGGTATTCCCCAAGACAGCAAAACTCTGTGACAGCAGGTGACACGCAGAAGGGGATATTTAGCAAAAGCTGCCATCAAATCTTCATGGAGGAGTATGGCAAAGTGTTTGGCATGCTTTCATACTGATCCAGGCTATTGCCCCAGTCCAAGCTGGGCAGCACAGCTCTCAGATCTGTTTAAAGGAGCCATTACCCAGCAGCTCAACAGAGGCTGCAGCACTCAGCCTCTTGCTGCTCCAGCACAGCAAAACCTCCTGGTGGCTCCTGGGGAAATCATTCCATGGAGGTGTTGCTACCAGGCTGGGGAAGGACAGGCAGGGGCAGGCTGGACAGATGGACACAGCATGGTTAACTCCATAAGGTCTAAGTAGCCCAGGCATAGAGATCTGCAGTCAGCCACCCAAAGCCTCTCCAGCTCTTGGGATTTAGGGATCCTTCAATGGAAATTTAAGGCATTGAACTGGGGGAAAGAAAGTAATTTCCATTCAGGGATGTTTTCAAGATACTCCATTTTGCTGGAGATGCTTTGTGTTCTCTCTGCCATTTCCAGTCCCCCTGAGCAGCAGGGTAGCATCTGTAGGCTTTGAGGTCCTATTAAATCCAGTATTTTTAAGGCATTCTTAACCCATTTCAATTAATCTTTCCTCTTACTAATTGAACACAGGAACCTTTTCCCGTGCTCTGCTGCCATGAATGCACAGCTCATCCTTCTTCACCTCTCATCTCCCACACCCCAGCGTGCAGGGGAAGGACCCATCACCACCCCAGCATGCACACTCCATGTGATTTCAGGGACTGGAAGGGATCTGGGCAGCCGTGCGGCCTCATCCTTGCCAAGGCATCCCCAGACATTGCCCAGCATGACCCTGGCACACTGTCCATAGGGAATGTTCCTCACTTCATATGTTGGAATTACTTCACAGAGTGCAATCCCACCAGTGCTGGAGATGCACCACATTTTTGGCCCTGGTTGAAGCCACCTTGTCACCCACTTTTGACTCATCCACTCCAAAGCGGACAAATTACGTCTGAAACGCTCCTGATAAAATAATTTAAAACATCTGTAGTTGCTTCCAAGCTGGAGCAGGGGGATAGTCCGAGATTCCTGCCTGTGCATCCCATGGGATGGGCTGAGGTGGAACTGCCTGGAAATCTCCGGCCGGGGCCCGGGGTGGGTCCCGAGGCTGCCAGGAGCGGCAAGGCTGGGGATGAGCGGGAATCGTGACAGGGACCGGCAAGGACCGGGATGAGCGGGAATCGCGATGGGGAGCGGCAAGGACCGGGATGAGAGGGAATCGCGACAGGGAGCGGCAAGGACCGGCATGAGAGGGAATCGCGACAGGGAGCAGGGGGCGGAGCAATGGGCGTGGCCATGGGGAGGGACTGGGTCGGGATTGGCTGCTTCTGGGGGCGGGGATTGTGACGGCCGGAGGGGCGAGGCTTGAGAGTCTCGGGGGCGGGGCGGGGCGATGGAGACGTGAGGCGAACCCGCGCATGCGCAAGTTGCGGCAGGAGGCAGGGGTCGCGCGGCGCTGCGCAGCCGCAGATTGCAGGAGGGGCGTGAGGGAGCGCGTGACGGGGAGGGAGCCGGCGGGGCGATGGCGCGGCCCGGCGGGTTCGAGGCGGCCGAGCAGCAGCAGCAGCAGGAGGTGCTGTCCCGGCAGCAGGAGCGGCATTACCGGCTGCTGGCCGAGCTGCAGGCGCTTGTCAAGGCGCTGCCCAGGTGAGCGGAGCCCGAGGGGGGCCAGGGGCCGCTGCCGGTGCCGGCGCTGACCCGGTTTGTGCCCGCAGTGCCTGCCAGCAGCGCCTCTCGTACACGACGTTGTCCGAGCTGGCGCTGGCGCTGCTGGACGGGACCGTGTTCGAGATCGTGCAGGGGCTGCTGGAGATCCAGCACCTCACCGAGAAGAACCTGTACAGCCAGCGGCGGCAGCTGCACAGCGAGCACCGCGGTACCGGGGCCGCCGTGGGGGGACTGGAGAGGGCAGCGCTGGGGCGAGGGCCACAAGGGCGGCCGTGCTGGAGCACTGGGGGGGACAGAGCGGGTGGGCAGCTCAGGAGAAATGGGGGTGGCACTCCAGGGAAATGATGGGGACCCTGCGGGAGGAGACGGGCCTGGGGCATATCTGGGGTGGGGAGGGGGTTCAGGGGATACTGGCGGTGGGGGGACACCAGAGAGACAGGGTGAGGGGGCAGTGGGGGCTTGGGGATGGCGCTGGGGGGAGGGGGGTGACAGTGAGGGGGCAGGCAATGAGACAGTGGAGGACACTGCGGGTGACACTAGAGGGCACTGGGGGACTGTGATGGGGACACTGGGGGTGATGCTGAGAGGGACAGCTTGGGGGGGGGTTTAGGGTGGTTTGTGGCGCCCTGGGGGTGGGTTGTGAGGGCATAAGGGAATGACATTGCACGTTGTGGGAAGGGCACTGGAGGGAGGGAGGGGTGGCACTGGGGGCACCTGGCAGCAGTGTGCCCTCCTGAGCCCCCCGTGCCATTGGCAGGGCTGAAGCAGGAGCTGTTCCATCGGCACAAGGAGGCCCAGCAGTGCTGCAGGCCCCACAACCTGCCACTGCTCCGTGCAGCCCAGCAGCGTGAGATGGAGGTGAGAGGGGCTGGGCTGGAGGTGGCAGGAGTGCAGAGCTGTGTCCCTTCCCAGGACTCTCACAGCCCCGTTGCTGCAGGAGCTCTGCAGCATCTCCAGAGGGTTTGCCTGTTCCTATCCTGCAGCCTCAGGAGACACCAGCTGTCCTGGCTGGCCTGGAAACTAGCACAGACCTGGTTTCCCCACTTCAGTCTAGAGGCCTGCTCCTCTTGCTCTCCCTTTTGTCCCCTCAAGGTTGAGGCACAGGCTGTTGCCATCCCTGGTGTGATCTGAGAATCGTGGAAACTCAGGAGCCTGTTCCAAAGGCAGTGCTCTCCACAGCACTTTAATGATCCATCATTAACTGATGGCCTGGAGCCTGTATAGGATAGGTGTACCTATCCTATGGGAGTACCACTGATAAGGAGGAAACACCTCCAGTTTCATAATTATGGTAAGAGTTTCTGAGAGCATCCCAAGGCATTTCAAAAAGATTCAGTCCCAGAGGACTTTTCTGTCACCTCTTGGTGATAGATAGAGGCAGTTTTGTAATGTAAGAAAATGGCAAGTAGCTGGTTATGTTAGTCAGTGGAGTTGAAATGTGGGGGTAAGCTACTTTGGTCCACATGAGGTGAATGAGAACAGTTTCCTGCCTTGGCCCATGGCAGCACCATGTCAGTGCTTGCTGTTGTTGGATTCTTTGGTGTTCCCACATTCCTCATTTCCTGTCAAGGTAACTAAAGCCAGGCTGGACCTCTGGTACCTGTCCTTGTTGCTTCTGTCTCTGAGTAACTTAGACTTCCAGCAGTAATCTCTACTGCCTGTTTTCAACACTTCCAGTATTTCATTAAATTGCCCAGATGTGTCTCACTTCTCCTTGTCTTACATGCTGTGCAACTTCCTCCTACCTGCCCTCTACCCTTCTGTTTTCCTCTCCCAGGTGTTAATAGAGTCACTTCTTCCTGTCTTTATCCTCTGACAGTTCTGCTGTAGAGCATTTTGGGAACAGATTGATCATCTCTGTTGTATCTGATGTGTGTGTAATTGTAACCTCTGTGGTTAAAGGTTTCCATGACCAGCTCCCATGGGATAACTTGGGCTTGGTCTCACAGGACAGGTAATACAGGGTGTATGTTTTAGGTGTTTGGCTCCTCAGTGGAACCCGTGGCATTTAGAAAAGCTTAGCCCATCATGCAGGGTCCGTGGCCAGCAGGGCTGAAGCAAAACTTGTGTGCCTCAGATTGGTCCAAGATGTGACACTTTTCTCTAACCCAGAATTAGATGCCAACACTAAGCAATATGAGGCACTTAAATTTGGGTGTTTTGTTCAAGTCCAAAGAAAGCCAGTTCTCCAGCATAGTAAGTGAAGGAGGCAATGGCACACTTAGGTGGGTGGGAGGAGGGAAAATCTGGGGAATGAGGCATTTTAATATGTTGTGTCTCCCACAAAGGGATTGAACCCCTGGACTGAAGAAAGTGTGAGGACAGAGCTTGCTTAGGTTTGTTCCTCAGCATCCTTTGGTGAAGGTGCAGTCATCACTCTGCCTTGGCTTCTGTTGGAGCTGGAGTTGTCTTGAGTTTCTTCCCATTTATTGCCATGAGATCCTGCCCTAAATGTTTTCTCTGGAGCAGCTTTTGTGCAGTCACCTTCTAGGGGATCCAAGTTCTGCATTCTCCTTAATTGCAGGTGTTTCTGTGAAGGTTTCTCACTGTGACATGCTAATTGTGGGCTCTGCATCCAGGAGATGTTCCAAGAGGGAGCTCCTGCCCCATGTGAGTGAGAGCTGCTCTTTGTTAGGTCACACCTTGGTGCAGACACACCTCAGCCCTTCCCCACACTGTTCATGGCTGAGAGTTCTGTCACCAGGAATTTTCACCAGGAATTGTGGGAGGGTGGAGGTATTCATCTCCCCTCCAAGGCCATTTTAACCAGCAGCCACTGGGGTTTGTGACTTCTGCCTTTCTGTGCAGTGGGAATAGTTTTAGCACATGGATGTTTCCAGCTGGACATGTGCCTGAGTTCTCTGTTACAAAGGGGCAGTATTGCATGAATGAAATGATGAAAACTTGTGGCTTTTCACAGAATCACACAGTAAGCTGAGTCAGAAGAAACCTACAAGGACCATCCAGCCCAGCCCCTGGCCCTGCCCAGACCCCCATCAATCCCACCCTGTCCATCCCTGGCAGCGCTGCCCACTCAGATGTGACTCCTTCATTCCTGACACAAACGGGCCCCACAGGGAGCTTTTCCTGCATTAAATGTTGGCTCATTCCCCTGAGCTCCAGGATCAGGAGTGTGCCCAGGCAGGGAGGGCTGGAGGCGGCACAGGAGGCTGGGGTGTGACCTTGGTGTGGGTCAGGCACAGGGAAGAGCAGATGGAGCCACAGCTCCAAATCTGAAATGCCTCTGATTTGGCTCCATTGGATTTTATGGGGATGGAAAATCCTTTCCAGACAATTACAGAAAGCATTTCCACCTTCTGAGCCTCAGGCTGGGAGAGATCAGAGAACCAGAAAATCTCCTGAGCAGGAGGGACCCCAGGGATCATTGATCCAGCCCCCGTCCCTGCCCAGACCCCCAACAGCCCCACCCTGTCCATCCCTGGCAGTGCTGCCCAAAGGCTCCTGGAGCTCTGGCAGCCTCGGGGCCGTGCCCATTCCCTGGGCAGCCTGGGCAGTGCCAGCACCCACTGGGGGAAGAACCTTGCCCCGATATCCAGCCCAACCCTCCCTGGCACAACTTCAAGTCATTCCCACAGGTCCTGTCACTGGTCACCACAGAGAACAGGTTAGCTTCTGCCCCTCCTCTTTGCCTTTCAAGGAAGTTTTAATTTTCAGTGAGTCTCCCCTCAGTCTCCTCCAGCTGAACAGACCATCTGCTCCTCATATGGTTTCCCCTCAAAGCCCTTCACCATGTTTGTTGCCTTCCTTTGGATGCTCTCTAATGATTTATTTATTTCCTGCTTCTTGCAGGAGAAGCACAGAATGATGGAATGGTTTGGTTTAGGAGGGACCTTCAAGTTCATCCAGTCCCACATCCTGCCATGGGTGGGGACACCTGGCACTATCCCAGGTTGCTCCAAGCCCCATCCAACCTAGCCTTGGACACTGCCAGGGATGGGGCAGCCACAGCTTCTCTGGACAACTTTTGTCATTGTGTCACCATCCTCAAAGAGAAGAATTCCCTCTTGACATCTAGTTTAATTCTGCCCTCTCCATATGAAGCCATTCCCCCTTGTGGTGTCTCTCCACCCCTTGTCCCAAGTCCCTCTCCATCTCTCTTGGAGCCCCTTTAGGCACTGGAAGGGGCTCAAGGTCACACAGAGGCTTCAGCCCTTGGAGCATCTCCTTGCCCTCCTCTGGACTTGCTCTGGCAGCTCCGTGTCCTTGCTGTGCCAGGCCCCCAGAGCTGGAGGCAGCTCTGTAGGGGGGTCTCACCTGAGCAGAGCAGCAGAATCTGCGCCTTCACTCTGCTGCCCACCCTACAAAAATGAGCCTGTCATTGTTTTTTGGTGGGGTTTGATGATTCCTGGTGTTCCCTGTGGCTTGCAAAGGAAGTCTGGTGAGGTTGTATCACCTCTGCACACGTGGGACTCTTTACTTGATCTATTCTCTGCTTGTCCCCTGTAGTCCTGCTCTCTGCTTCCACTCCTGATTTCCAGCATGCCTTTGTTTGCTGGGCTCCATTCTTCTCTGGAGGCATCACAGAATGACTCTGCTGAAGCTTGGGCAGAAGTTGGTGAGACAGGAGTGGCCATGTCCTCCTGGTTGGAGCTATTCTGGCAAAGTTCTTCTTTAATAATGTTTTCAGTCTGTCAAAAATAGAGCCCAGCATTCAGATCCTTTCAGAAATAAATAGGATCTGTATGGGGTTCACAGCTCCAGCACCATATTAGTGTCCAGGGAGCCATCTTGATGAGCTTCAGTGGCCCAGGTTATTCCTCCAAGGATTCCTTCAGCCTCACCTGAGAGGGGCACATAGTTCTTGGGCTGAGCTCAGCCATAGCTCAGGTGGTGACTCATCAGAGAAAGTGATTCAGATACTGTGATGTTTCCTCATGGTCTTTCCTGGCCTCCAGACACTCAGAGAGCAGGCTGTTCCCATGACTTCCCTGCATTTTCTGGAGTGGCAGCTTTGCAGGTGGAGGTGTTAAGACCTGGGTTTCCCATTCCCATTGCTGTCCTTGGACTCATCAGGAGAGATTCAGGGCCTGGTTGCTCTTGAGTTCCAAGTAAAAATTTTAGAGATGAGAAAGAGATGGGAGGAACACAGATATTCCACTTTCCCATTGACTTTAATGTTTTTCAGGCTATGGAGCAACAGATCCGAGAGGAGCAGCGAATGATGGATGAGAAGATTGTCTTGGAACTGGACCAAAAAGTAATCGACCAGCAGAGCACCCTGGAGAAGGCCGGGGTGTCTGGCTTCTACATCACCACCAACCCCCAGGTGGGTGTTTGAGCACGGCAGGGGAGCTGTTCTGACCAGAGCTTGGAGGACAGGACAAGGGGGAATGGCTTCCCGCAGCCAGAGGGCAGGCTTAGGTGCGATATTAAGGAGAAATTTTTTTCTGGAAGGCTGGTAAGGCACAGGTTACCCAGAGCGGCTGTGGCTGCCCCTGGATCCCTGGAAGTATCCAAAGCCAGGCTGGATGGGGCTTGGAGCAGCCTGGGACAGTGGAAGGTGTGCCTGCCCATGGTAGGGGGTGGAAATGGATGACCTTTAAAAATCCCTTCCAACCTCAACCATTCCATGATTGTTTAACAGTGCTCTTGGGTTGCTATCTTTAATTTTTTTTAAAAAATCTCGCTGTAGATAAATTGGGGATGGGTGTGTCAGACAGAACAATCCGTCCTTTGCCTCCCTACGGGTGGGTGGTGTGTGCTGGACAGAACTTGTACTCAGTTCATCACTAAAGAGCAGAAACCCAGGTACCCTTTGGCAGCATTCCCAACTTCCCACAGTACTTTTTTCCATTGTGGGGAACCAAAACACTGTGCCACCAGCCTGCAGTCCTGTGAATCTCAAATGGGTCTGAAAAGCACTAAAAGAATTCATTAACTGCATTTGTATTCAGCTTAGCTATGAAAACTGACTTCAAGCCTGTTTATTAGGCACCTTGCTCATTCTTGCGTGTGACTTGCTGGAGCTGATGATCTCAGGCTGTGATAAAGAATTGTTCCCAGTTTCCCCAGGGCATTTGCTCTCAAATTATCTGAGGAGTCACCTGGGTTTGTGCACATTGTCCTTATTTATTTATTCCTTTATGTCCTTTGTTCCTGCCGCCACAGGTACAAAAAACCTCAAAATTCCCAAGTCTTGTTGTGAAGCCATACAAGTTTGCAGGGAACACAGAGACAGGCTGTTCTTAACTGTGTTTTTTCAGCTGATTAAATGTCACTTTGCTAAAAACCTACTGCTGAGAAAAGACTGCTTAAATGAAGCCAAACAGGCATTTTCTAACACCCACCCGCATGATTCCCGGTTGTGGAGCCTTGAACAAGCCTCTCACTTTTTCAGTGTTGCCATTCCCTGGTTGTATAATGCAGAGAGCCTGTTCTCTCCCTCCTGCCCTGCTCTTCATGTTGTTTGTGTAAGCAATGAGCCTCATTAGGGTTCCTCTTTGCTGTGTTTGTGTATGTTCACCTTTGGGATAGATGCCAAGACCAACCCGGATCTTGGCTTGTGCCTGTGAGTGCCACCAAGCAATCCCTGCTGGAATCTGTTCACACGGTTCCCATCAGCTGATGTGTTTTGTGTTTCCCCCCCAGTCTGTATGAAATGCTTCCTTGTGCAGGGGATATATTCTTACAAAAATAGGTTTTTATTTCCATAGCTCCGTGTCTGCAGGGCTGAGTCACAGACCCACACTCGCAAATTATTGGCTCCACCATGTTGTCCCTGAGCTAGATGTAATTAAAGAAGAAGCAGGTGGCAAAGGAACTGTGAGCTGATGTTGATGTCTCCAATAGACTGTGGTCCTGGAAAAGGGGAGTTTTCCAGAAATAGGGAATGAAATGCTTGCAGGGAATTTGATGCGCCAGCACAGCCATGTGTTGTGCCTGCCTTGGGTCCCACTCAGAGGGTTCCCAAAGTGATCCCTCCTCTTCCTGCCTTTCTATGCTGAGAAGGGGTCAGGAGGTTGGAGATACAGGTTGTGGGGAGGGGCCTGGAGAACCTTTCCTGGGGCTGCTGGCCCTCCTCAGCCTGCCAGCCCTCATAGCCCCTAGCACATTTATCATGGTCAAGAAGAAAGAGCCTCTCTGGATCCTTAAGGAATCCTCAAGTGCTGGGATTCTTAAAACAGCCACAGTTTGCAGCAGGTCTGGTAAGATGTCACTGCTCCATGTATTAGAGAAACACCTGAACAAGATGAACCATTTGGTTTTTAGCTGCCTGGTTGATTTTTTTGTAATTCCCTAAGAACAAGAAGCTCTTGGGGAGGTGGTACAGGCCAGTCCTTCCTGCTTCCTGCAGCAGGGAGTGGAATCATCTCTTTGCACAAACATTTTTCTCCCTTTGCAGGAGCTGACTCTACAGATGAATTTGCTGGAGCTGATTCGGAAGCTGCAGCAGAAGGAAGCTGAGGCTGACAAGACTTTTTCCTGAAAGAGCAAATCTACTGTTCACCTCCCAGAGTTTTTCCTCTGACTTCCCTCTAAACAGACTGTCCATGCATTTGCTTTGTTTTGTGTCGGGAAGAGGCTACAGGAGTAGAAGAAATTGCTGAGACACTTAGATTAGAGCTGGGGTAGGCAGAGCCCAGCACAGGGGATGGTTTGGAGCCTGGCTCTCAGGTCCTCAGAGCAGTGTCAGCTGCGTCTGGCTCAGCTGGGAGAAGATGGAGCATGGTCACCTGCCAGGAATGTCCTCAGTGGTGCTGAGGCCATCACTGAGCCAAGGCTGGGCTGAGCACAGAGCTCCGCTGTGTGAGGGTGGCCCTGTGTTTAGATGATATGACTGGGGAGGGGGGAACAATTCCAAGGGTGCTTCTGTGTGTTGTTAAGGCAGAAACAACCTCTTAGGCAGACCCTTCCCAGAGTCTCCTCCAGGCTGGTACCAGCATTATCTGTATTCGTTTATCTGTATGCTGGCCAGCATCATCTGTATTAAAGGAGGATTTCAGGCCTCAGCCCAGAGTTACAGGACTGGTGTTTGCAGTGTTCCCATTGATTCAGAAAGCAGATCTTTTGCTTTCTTCTTTTAAACCAGTTTCCAAATTAAGAAAAATAAAACACTTTTCTTTTGGGGCTGCAGCTTTCTGAATGCCAGTGGTTTGTGTTTGTCCTGTCCTCAGTTGGGCTTGTGGTGGGTTAGATGGAAGCTGGGGAGGAACCTGGAGTGTTTCTGAGATCTTTCAGGGTGTTGGAAGAGCTTGTGGGTGGCCTTATGGTGGGGAAAGCTGGTGCTGGAGGAGACCAACACAAGATCAGAGCTACAAGGACCAAGGAGGCTTTTGGAAATTCAGGGCTGGGGCTCCCTCCCTTTTCCATCATGTGTGGATGTTCCCTCCCCATGGAGATGATGCTGCTGTGATTCAAGAGCTGGAGACAAGACCTACTGCTTGTGTGGAGTCTTCACCTCCTGGATGAAAGTCCCCATCTGGAAAGCAGGCTGGTTTGGGACCTGCACCACTGCAAAGTCCCCACAGAGCTGGAACTGTGTTGCCACTGGACCCTTAGGTGGGAGCTCTGTGCCACACTGCTGACAGTGGTGAGGGGCAGGGTGGGCAGCATTCCCCTCTGGAGACACCTCCATCCTCCTGGGAAGACACAGGGTAGCCACTGGTGCAGGCTGGCTGAAGTCAGCCTCTGTGGTCAGGTTTGTGACCCGAGCAATTGGCAAGGAAATTGCTCCCTGAGGTGAGGCTGGGGAAGGGAGGGGTGGAGAGTGGGTTCTATTGCAGGAAAGGATGCCCAGGTGCTGGGGGTGTCACGTTGCCTCCCAGAAGCTTCCCTGTCCTCTACACAAGCGCTCTGGAATGGCTGGAGCAGCAGCAGAGTGAGGGTGTGCTTGGAGGAGCTGGGATCGAGGTTCCTGCCCTGAGGGGTGAGGGCTGGAGTCCACCTGGGTGCAGAGCCCCTGGGACCCAGGGCTGCTGCTGTCTGCAGGGAGAGCGGGTGCCAGGGGCTGCTCTGGCACTGCCATGGCAACAGCAGCTCTCGGGCTTCCTGCTTCTGCCATCTGTTTGCAGATGGCTCTGCCAGGCAGCTGATTGCATCCAAGCTGAAATTTTCCATGCCTGTGCTCAGGTTGGGTTTCAGAAAGGTCAGGGTGGAGAGCTGCAGGGGGTTACATGTGGGTAGCTGGTGGGAAAGGTTATCCTAAGGGAGCAAAGCCCCTGGGATGTGATCAGATCAGCAGGATTTCAGGAGAGGAACACTTGCTCAGCCCCTGAAGCTGAACCGTCCAACATGGAGGATACTGATATTTTCCCAAGTGTCCTTGTGTCACCAGAGGGGGACACCATCCCACAGCATTGCTGTGCCCCAGCCACTGCAGTTGTGGTGCTGCCAGTAACACAGGGCAGCCCTGGTGACAGCAACCCGACAGGGCTGGAAATTCTGTTCGGCTTTGGCTGGCGCAGCTCCTTGGTTCAATGACCTGTGCAGCTCCCAAACTCTCAACTGGTGTTCCAGGAACATGTGTTTGGCTTCAGGCATCCACAGACCTGGACCAAAGGTGCCTGCCCAGAGCTCCATGTGTGCCAGAAATTACATGGAGAGGGGATGCAACCCAAGGATCAAGTTCCCTGTTCAGGTGCCAGGTGACTGACATGAGAGCTATGGCTCCAGGCCAGCCCCATGTTCACCCAGGAGCTGGTGGAAGGTGAGTAATGGGTGGCAGGAAGGGACAAATCCTGTTTATTCCTTCCTTTTCCTATATTTTGGGCTGTTGAGGAGAAGAGCAAGGTCCCCTCCACATAGGAAGTCAATCCAGTGTAATAAAGGTGAGTGTGTTCAGGTGGGAGCCCTCAAGAGTTGCACTGTGGGATCTAAGTTGTGGGTGCAACTTGAGGGTGACATTTGGGGTGGTGACTGGTGGGTCCATGAAAATGTCAGTTTAAGTGCCTGGGAGCCATCAGAAAACTAGATGAAACATGAGAAGGGGATCAGAGAAGAAAATTAAAAACATGTTGCTGCTGTGAAGCACCTAAATAAATTCCTTCACCCTGACAAAGGCACGGTAGGGATGGAACAAGCTCTGCAAAGGCCCTGGGGACACCAGGGATCTGGAACACCTTCCAGCTGAGCTGGACTCCTTTATCTTTGACAAAGGGCACAAGAGGGGGCAGGGTGGAGATAAAAGTATGGGCGACATTAGAGGACTAGAGAGGGACTTCACTCTCTAGAAACACAAGAGCAGCAGCATTGCAGGGCACCTGTAACAGGCAGGTTTGGGTGGGATGAGTGACTGCCTGGGAAACTCCTGCCCCAGGGGGCTGCAGAGGCAGAAGGTTTCTGGATGTTCAAGAGGAGGTGAAGCACTTCTGGAACAGAAACACCTTTTGACTTAGAGATGGATAGAGGTGATTCCCCTTCACTGCCCTGCAGAGCCAGGGGGAAACACCACAGGCTTTTGCTCAGGATTTGTGCTCCTGGCCAGGCAGGAGGACTGTGAGCCAGAGGGGCCTCTTCAGGAGCTCCTCCTCCCACAGCTTTCTCCACACCTCAGTTTCTTCACGACAAACACCTGAGCATAGAGGATGTGGCTGCCCTTCAGGTAGCGGCTGCAGAGCAGAGTGAGGAGCAGGATCTCAGCCTCTTGCTCCATCCAGAACTGCATCCAGGGGATGGGATTTGGGATAACTGCTCCATTACAGAATCACAGAGTAGTTTGGGTTAGAAGAGACCTTGGATTAGAAGCTCATGAGCAGGAACACCTTCTACTATCCCAGGTTGCTTCAAGTCCTGTCCAGCCTGGCCTTGGGCACTTCCAGGGACCCAGGGACAACCACAGCTGCCCTGGGCACCCTGTGCCAGGGCCTCCCCACCCTCATAGCCAAGAATTCCTTCCTAATAACCCAGGTAATCCTGCCCTTTGTCAGTAGGAAGCCATTCCCCCTTGTCACCCCAAGTGCCTCTCCAGCTCTCTTGGAACCCCTTTAGGCATGGGAAAGAGCTCTAACGTCTTCCTGGAGCCTTCTCCAGGGTGAACACCTCAGCTCTCCCAGCCTGCCTCCGGAGCAGCCCAGGCTGCAGCCTCTGGAACGTCTGCATGACCACTCTGCATCCCGTTTCTGTGCGGCTCCAGCCGGGGGGTGCCCACCCAGGGGTCGTGGAGACCCCGCTGTGTCTGCCCCTCCCAGGGGCTGGAGGCGCAGCCCCGGTACCGCAGGCTCCGCTCCCCGCTCCGGGAGGAGCCGCGGGCCGGCCCTGCCGCCGCCCTTCCGCCGGGCCCCGGGAGGCGGAGCCGGCGGCGGCGGCGGCGCGGAGCAGGTGAGGCCGGGGCCGGTGCGGGGCCCCCGCCGCCCTCGCAGGTGAGCGACAGCCCCTGGGGCCGGGAGCCGGGCTGGGATCGGCGCTGTGCGGAGCGTCCTGGGGGAGCGCGGCCGGGATCGGGGTCGGGGCTCGGCGCCGCCCGGAGCCGGCATCGTGGCGGGGCTGAACGCGGGCGAAACTGTCGCCTCTCGCCGCCCGGGATTAATCCGGAATCCCTACACGCCCTCCTCGGTCTGGGGGTCCCCACCCTTGGCCACCCCCATCTCCGTGGATGCTCCGTGTTCAGTGGGCGCCGAGCTCCGCATCCTCCCAGCTGCGCCTGTTGCGTTCGTTGGGATTGGGGACCCCGGTACTGCCAAACGTCTCCGGTCGCGGGGACCTGGATGTGCTGGGCTGGGCGTCTCAGCCAGCACGGATTGTGCACGTTGTCCTCACGGGCCATCATCGGTGCTGTCATTCCACCTCCTTGTGGGCTTTCCGCGACCTTTTGGCCTCCGAGATGTGGACCCTGCTGTGGGGCTGCACCAGCCCTCCGAGCAGGGCATGTTTTTTTACGTAGGTGTGGGGCTTCTGGCACAGGAAGGAGGGCAGCTGGGAGGGGAGAGTGTCCCCAGAGTCACCAATCACCCCATGGAGCAGCTGGGAAGCAGCACCTGAATGTCCCTAGTGCTGTGTCCTCCCACTGTCATGATGGCAGTGCCAGTGTGCCTCATCCCTGGCACTGGATGTTCTTGGTCTCCCTGGAGACTCCAATGGGAGCTGCTCTGGACTTCTGCAGCAGCTTCCGGGGAAGCAGCAGGATTCTGGGAGCAGGGAGATGCTGCATGCCCCCATGGTGGGGTCCTGGCACAGCAGGGCGAAGTTCAAGTAGATGTTGGATGAGGTGGAGAGGAGGCAGCAAGGAAGCCTTCATGAGGGCCAGAGCAAACTGGTTTGGGCTTTAGTGGGGAGATGCTGCCCTGCGAGTGCTGTGGTTTGCCTGCCACCTGGCACACTGGCACATGTCCCTGTCCTGTGCCACGCCTGGAGGAGGACACATCTCTGCTGAGCTCTATGCTGGCTGAGGAGCCAGGGACACCTGGAATGTGCCCTGGTGGCTTTTCCACCCTGTCCCCAGCACTCGATACCTCACTACCAAGGGAACGTTCACCTCTCCCTCCCCCTCTAGCAGGTCGCCAGGCAGGATCTCACTGCTGAGGACCCCTCACTGCTGCGGGCAGGGCCCGCTGCCTCCACGATGGCGAGATGGCTGCCCCGCTCCACCGACCTGACCCGCTTCTGCCAGAAGCTCAACCGAGTGAAGACCCTGGAGGATGACATGATGGAGACATCCTTTAACAGATGCCTTTCCACCATCGACTTGACGCTGCTGGGCATCGGGGGCATGGTGGGCTCTGGGCTGTACGTCCTCACGGGCACAGTGGCCAAGGAGATCGCCGGCCCCGCCGTCATCGTCTCCTTCATCATCGCCGGCT